GAACGTCATGAGAAAGAGCTTTACGAGTATGACCAACGTTTGCATTTGTTATGTCAAACATTTCTCTTCTTACTTCATGAGGTACTGAACGTCTATGATATAAGTCAATAGCAACGTCATTTAAAGGAAATGCTCTTGCATGGACTTCGTCCTCGCCGCGTTGCGGCTTTATGAACTCATGAATTCTATCATAACTTATTGGACCATTATAGTCTTTAATGAAGTCAGCGAGTGCCTTTTTGTTTGTTGCGTAATGCTTTGCAACATCTATATTAGCTTCTGTAAGAAGTTGTTTTATTTCCGAGTGTTTAACTTAGACAACTTCCGATATCATCTTTAGTAGGAAATAAAAAAAATATTTTTGAAAAAATTAGATTAGATTTTTTTAAGTTATTTTTCAAAATAATTTAATATTTTTTATTTTTAATGAAACACATGCAAGATTGCAAGTTCTTTTCATACAATGCTCTCGCTACTGTCATCAAGAATGAGTTCAATAATGCTTCAAACGTCAATGTTATCTTTAACAAGAAGTTTGTGAAAGAATCTAAGTTTGGTCAGTATGTCAGACCATTAGCTATTGTCATTGACCGCAAACGTTATACTTCACAAGAGTTAGCAGTAGTTTTGAAACAAAAGGGTTTCTTCGTGAATGTCAAAGATACTCATTATACTATTATAAAGAACTCCAACATTGACTTCTTCAGTATTGCTATGAATCTTTCCGAACAGAAAGAATATAAGAGGGTGAAACAAATGTGAAATATTATCCTTCATCTCTGAAGACAATAAGAACAAAGATGTTATACAAAAGTTCTTACCAAAGGTTGAAGAAGCTTCTATTGACATTGACGAAGGAAGTGAAATGGTTGAAGAAATTGACCTGACGTCATTTAAGCAAAAATATATTTTTGGTTAGTCTTCATATCGATATTTTACAACAATTCCCCAATGTATAAACTTTTCATACGCTTTTTCATAAGCTTTATATACCTTCAGAAATTTTTGCATAATCTTTAGAAGCATTTAGATATTGTTTAAATGCTTGTATGTCTTCAGAAATTTTGCATAATCTTTTACATGTTGTTCGTTCTCTTCTTCTGTCATGAGTTCCGAATATTCTAAATTCATGTTCTTTCATATGAGATAAATTTTATAAAAAAATAAAATTAGCTTTAGATTTTTTTATTCTTCCTCTTTGAAGTTGTCGAAATATTCTGTTATTTTTTCCTTCAGTAATGTTAAGTCTTCTTTGAATGTAAGTATTGTGCAACCTTTGATGTCATAGTGTGTTTGAGGAAGAGTATTTTTGACAATTTCCTTTATTTGCTCATTCGGTGTCATTGAAATCGGTAAGTTTTCACGATAGAACCAGTTTCTGTCAGATTTATATATCTTAGCAAGGTCATAAAAGCTTTTGTTGTTTCTTCTGACTAAATGCAACATAACCATATCTCTATCTTCTTCTTTCTCCAACTCTTCAGTATATATCATATACTTATAACTCTTTTCCTTTCCTTTTGGTACCGAACGTGGTATTCTTTTCTGTATGCTTTTGTCTTTGGATTCAATGACTTCATCTTTTGCTTGAAGTTTCTTTTCCATCTCTCCACGTTCTGCTTTATATAGTTCATCTAACATCATGAAAATATAACAAGCATAACGAGGTGAAGCCCACATTGCTACAGCATTTACTAAAAGTCTATGAACATAATAACTTTCAAACCAGGTGCCAAATTCTTGCGATTTTCGTACGGAATCTCTTCCCTCGGTTTTCCGAGGGAAGCAATCATATGAGGAAATTCTTCTAAAAGTTCTTTTGCCTGTTGGTTTTCAAACCAATGATATGCTTGCTTTGTAGAAAGAAGAGCGTTCATTATACTTTGCATTTGATACATGTCATCTTTGACCGAACGAATGAGACGTAACTGTTTGTTATACTGTATGTACTCGTATTCTTCATTAATGGCTTCATGAACGATAGCAGTTGTTGTGTTCTCTGATGTTGACATTACTGTCTTTACATACAAAATAAAAAAATAAATAAAAAAAATCTAACTTTATTTTTTCTGAGATAAACACTATTTCTTCACAACATTAAATTTTATCCTGTATGAAATGACTTTAAAAAGATTATTGACTGACTTCGAATACTATCTCATTGACGCACTGACAGACCCTCAAAACTGTGTTGAAAGTTCTTTAAGCTTTAAGATTGAAGGTACGACGCATTTTGTCTTCACTTACGTATTGAAAGAATATGACCGTTATCATAACGAAGTGAATCAAACACTAATAAAATTTGTAGATAAAAAATTGGTTAACAATGAATATTTTAAACGTGAAGACCCAAACACTGCTGGAGATGATGAAGAATACAGACAAGTTATTGAAAAAAATAACGCAAGATTAGATGCAATAGAAAAGAAGTTTAATGAATGTCTTACAAACACGTATGAATATCTTATGCGGTGGGAAGCTAGATGGAAATAAATTTACGTCAAATATGCAATTTATAAAATCTTATGTCGACAGGCTACGTAGCACAGTGGTCTAGGGTGGTGTTATGGAGGGTCAGGGTCTGTGGTTCGAACCGCGACAGCGCCGTATTTTCTTATTTTCTTTGTTTGTCTTGTTTGTCGTGAATAAAAAGTGTCATAAAAGTGCTCTATCTTCCACGGGAATAAATAAAAATTTACTTTATTTCTTCTTTATTTCTTTGTTCCCGTGGAAGAAGGGTTTTTGCCGTTTTTTCTCAGCCGAAATCAATGATTTTTTCATTTTTGGAATCCTTAGCGAATGGGGAATCTTTTCTCTCGTGGAAGCTTTGACCAAAAATATATTTCATTTTCAGCATTATTTTTCAGAGATGTTAATTAACCGAGTGACCCCTTCAGTTCTTCAAAAATAATTAATTATTGAATAACCTAAAAACATTAACATAAACATTATTTTTTTGGTCGTTTATGACAAAAATAAATGGTTCATTTACTCACAATATTTATGTACAAAACGACCCCAAACTTTTAACTTCTTTTCTGCAGCTTCTAATGCTATCTTAGCGAGTTCATATTCTCTAAATTCTCTCTTTAAATCTTCTTGTTCCCATTGGTCTAGTTCGTATGAAGAATCTCTATAACCATAACATATCTCACGTTCATGTTCTAATTGTTTTTCGCGCATTTTTCTAACTTCTTGTTCGAACAAAGGTTTAGCATTCTCTACTGTATCTTCGAGTTCTTCTTCATCTAACTTCTCATGAACTTTCTTGTCTATGGAATCCATAATATCTTTGACATAAAATGCATACTTTACAGAGCACCATTCAGCAACAAAATGAACGAGGTCAGGATGTATGTAAATACCTTTGAATTCATTTATAACACCCTTAGTAAGCTCATAAAATGCTTGTTTTGAGGTCGAGCCACTTTTGGCTCCACCGTATTCTTTCAACCAAAACTCAAGAATTTCATGCATTTTAGCACTATTGAGAAATCTGTTTAAATGGTTTAACTTTCCCGCTTCTCTTGCCATCTTTGTTGCATTAATGTAATCATCCTTGTCTCTACGTAAGACTTCAATACCGTTATAAGTGCCTTTTGTGAATGTTTCACCATTAGATTTGTTAGTGAATGTTTTTGCTTCGACTGACATTTCTGTTCTTACATACAAAATAAAAAATAAATAAAAATAAAACTAACTTTATTTTTTCTATCTTAAGGAAATTCATGATTTTTCAAGAGGGTAGAAAAGAGGGTAGAAATGAGGTTAGATCTAACCATCTACCCTAAACATGGGCTTCGCCCTTGCCGCTAGCGGCTTATTTTTGTCTGATTTATATCTAATGAAAAAGTTTAGAAGAATTTTCTTATTCTTTCTGGCATATTTTTGTCTTTCCAGTACTCCCGCTCTAATGGTCCCAGATGTGTCGGCTTTGACTCTCTCAAGTTCTTAGATGGTATAACATCTTCAACGCCTCCTTCATATCTTACTTTATAAGTGTCATCGTTTATGTTGTAGCCAAGTATTTCAATAACCACTCCTCGCTTTGCTTCGTCAATGGTTTCAGCAAGTTTGCCATTACTACTTTCAACTAACTTATGTCGAGGGTAAAATGCTATGGAGTCGTCAGCAGCTTTTATAAGATATCCATTACCTTGTGTAGAGTCTACGATATAATAGTTTCTACTTAACCTTAAACGTTTCTTTGTCAACGGTTTGTCGTCAAGAACTACACGAACTTTTGTACCAGGAATGAGGGTAAATTGTGTTGAATTTCTGATATTTTGTGTTTGACTTAGTTTCTTTTGTATATACTTTTCTTCTTGTTGTTGTGTCATTGAATTTGGTGTATGTCCTGTTGTAGAATGTGTTGAGGAATTATATACTTCGAGAAAATGTTTCATTGTTTCTTCGGTAAAGTCTCGCTCTTGGTTTAAATCTCTGAGAGTCCTTATGAAGCGGTTAATGATGCCGAGTATGTTATGGTTATGGTCTTCAGTAGTGTAGTGAGTTATGTTATGCTTAATGAGAAAATCTGTGATTTCGTTGCTGAGGTATGCACTGTCTTGGTCTGATGTTAAAGTACTTGGGCTATGTTCTGCTACAAACTTTTGTAAAACTCTTAACACTTCACGAGTTCCTTTATTTTTCATTGGATATGCATATGCTTTACGAGTGTTAACATTTATGAAGATGAGGAATGGTTTATGTCCTCCTTTTCTGCTTTGAATGAGAGTGTCAAATTGGTATGCGTCAGGAGTGTTGGAGTAAATTGGTAAAAAGTAGTCGTAAGGGTTTATTTTTGTTTGATGTACAACATTTTTGTCAAAGAACCTTTTCACTTCAGCTCTGTTAGTAAATCCCCAACTCTTTGCAGCTTCATTGAATTTCTTAAATGACCTCCATGGATGTTGTTCGAATACTTCTTTCAAGCTCATTTATGTAAAGTTAAAGATTTTATTCAAGACGGTAAGTCCGCAAAGCAGGCTCAAGCGCGTTCATTGAACGCGGTACCATGCGAATATAGTCACAAATGGTGGCATATAATCTTCACCCGAGCCTGTTGGATTTGTTGTGAAAGTGTGTGAATGATTTCCTGTGGTTCCACAGAAAATACCTGTGCTTGAATCTACTGGGTCACTTGAAATATCATATCTATGCATTCCCTGTCTATCCGAACCTGCTGCAAGATTTGTATAACCTCTTTTTGTTATTGAATGTGAATGACTACCTGTTGTGTTTGTAGTTCCTGTATGAGTGTGCGGTGGAAGGTTTGCTTCTTTAATTTTCTTCGAACCACCTGTTTGCTTTGAAGAGTTCGCACAGTATAAGAATTTATCTACAATCTGCTCCCACGTACCAAAACCTAAAACTGTTTCTGAATTTGTTGAGTTCATTGACGTATAAATAGAACCTATAGGATATAATGTTTGAAGTATTTCAGTCTTTAATGTTTGAAGCTCTGTTTTGTCAGCCTTCTTGTCATATAAATCTTGAGCAGTGAATTTAATATTATATTCATCCTTCATGACATAAACATTTCTACATCTAATGTATTTCATCGTCGTTATGTCGTCATCCGATGTTAAACCTTGTGGAAAGTTAGGAGGTTTACAATATAATGCATCCCCACCAGTTTCTTCAACCGTTCCTTCAATACTTTCTATACCAACAGTTGTGAAGAAATCATGTGTATGGTTCTTGTCAGCTTTACTGTCTAACATTGCTGGTAGTTCATGGGTTTCAAAGTTTCTGGCATGACCTTCAATGTTCATACATTTACTATTTAAGGAGTTTAGTGTATCTTTTACGCTTGTACTTGGATTCTCTAAAGGTGCACTTGAACCAAGGGTATAGTTCAATATTATGTCGTCTGCTCTAACAGTAGTGAAGGATTTATGTGTATGGTTCTTGTCAGCTTTACTGTCTAATGTAGCTTGAAGTTCATTTATATCGGAGATGTTGTGTTTATGAGATTTCAAAACTTTGTTCATTGCTTCAAGTTCAACTTTGTCAGCTTTACTTTTAATAGCATCTTCAAACGTTATTTTTGACTTAACTCTCAAAGTAAATCTTGGTTCAACTAATACACCTTTAACAGAGAAAGTAGAGGCATAAATTTCATCGTTATAACTAAATGCTTCTGGTGCTTTACCCGTGTCATACTGTACAGTACAGCTTATGTCATAACCTTTAGCACGAATGTATTTATATCTTCTTTCATTGGGGTCTTCCGTCTTCGCTTCATCACTTCGTGTTAAATATCCATGGTATGCCGTTATAATCTGTTCGTCTGAAGTTATATAATGAACGTGGTTTTTATCTGCTTTTTCGGCTAATTTCTCTTCTATCTCATTTATTTCAAGTTCATGCCTACCACCACCTCCCGAAGAAGTATTTTTCTTCAGCTCTTGAAGAACGTCCACTTCGCCATCTTTGGTGTCAATAATGAGACTTTGTGTTAAAACCTTTCCTGTCTTAATGGATGTTTGTAAAACTTCTTCTTCACCATGTTCGGGTCATGGTCGTCATCATATCTTGTGAAATCAGAGATGTTGTCATACATTAAGCATATCTGTCTCAAAAGTTCTGCTATTTGAAACTGGAACGAAAGATATACAGAACTTTCATCATCTCCTAAAGTCAAGTCTGCTTTCTTAAGTATTTCTTGAATGTATGCAATGAGAACAGAGTACCTTGGAAAATATTCGAACAATATTTCATTAGCTGTTGGTTTTGGTGGTTCTTTGGAGTTTCTGTTGTTTCAGTTCCTTCTGTAGGTTCTGTTGGAGTTTCTGCATCTCTTGACTTCAATGCTCTTGCTCTCAAAGACCTAAATGTTAGAGCACCGGGTTTTACAAAGGACTTTATAAATGCTTTAATAGTTCCTGGTAAGTTATTGTTAGCATTAAGTAAGTTCCTTATGCTTCCATCATGTACGTCCATAGCACTATGTAAAAAATCTATACTTTTCTTGTAGTCAGCAATAGACTGACTGTGATTTTTTAAAGATTTGTCAATACCTTTAAGCCAATCTTCATGCATGTCTGATACTGAGCCAAGAATATCATTTGCTTCCTTTAGTGTATTTTGTGCTTCTCGTAAAGTATCCAATCCCGTACGTGCATTGTTTGCTATACGTCTTACAGTATCTATTTGACTCCTTGTTTCTTGCATCCAACCAGATAAAGTTTTAATAGTATCCGAACCATTTGAAATGAAGTTCAAAGCATTTTTAACGTCATCTAAAGCTTCTTCACCAAGTACTGCCCATATCTTTCCGATTTGGTATTGAAGAACTCCATATGAAGCAGCTGTTAAACCAGTATTTATAAGGTCCCATATCCATGATTTAGCAGTTTTTCCATCCTTTCCATCCTTTCCATCCAAACCGTTTTCGCCTTGAGGTCCTTGTATTCCTTGTATTCCTTGTATTCCTTGTATTCCTTGTGGTCCAGTGTCACCCTTCTCTCCTTTCAGTTCATCTTTATGTTCGTTATAATATTCTAATGTCATAAGGTGTACATCATTACTGCTACCAGCAACGCCGAGAATTTGTTTCTCATTCATGACTAAATTCTTTAGGCATTTAATGTTGTCGTCAAATCGAAAGCTCTTTAACAATTCAATGAGAACATTCAGTACTTTCACTAATGAGGCATCTACTGTAGAATTTATATATTGCACCGTTCCATCATTTATGATGGGAACTTTACTTATTGTAATGAATGGGTCATAAGTGTTAAAAGTATCGAAATCAATGACTTTTTTAGTTTTTCCATCGTCAATGACTAAATCATTGCCTTCAATGGTTAAAGTTGAGTTTTCGTTTACTAGTTCATGTGCTCTTCTTGCTTCATTTGTTTCATACGCATATGCAGCAATAGTCATATTTTAATGAGAATAAAATGTTGTTCTATTTGCAAAGTACAGACCCAAACGAATACGGAATAGTAAAGCTACAAACAAACTTAGGTCTACAGAATGAAGCACTTGCTTTCAGAGTTGTTGACTTCAATACTATCGCAACTTTTGTCATAACAGATGAAACAGATTTCATGGAGTTTGAAATAGATGGAAAGAAGCACGAAATAAGATTTCACAATAATGTAGAATATAAGATGGAAACATTAGCTGGAGTGGTTAAATGCTCTCATAAATACTACAATAAACAAGGATAACGAAGAAAACTTAATGAATGTTAAACTTATTGCAGGAGTTTTGAAGTTCAGTTATGCGAAGGAGTTTAAGATAACACGAATGAGTCATAGAGTTCAATTGCTTCTGGGAGCATACCATATGACATTTCCTTTGAAAAGTGTTGACAAAACGATTGAGATGAAATCTGTTCCATACGTATGTTATGGTAATTGTTTGTACATTGAGTCTAAAATAGCTAATGTCACAGGCATTTCAGGAGTTAATAGTAAAGGTTCAGTAGAATATAAGTCTTTCTGTTATGCAGTCAATTCAATGTTCATTCCAAACGTTCCTGTCATAGCAACTCATTTAGGTAAATGGATTCGCATTAGTCCTCATAATTTGAAAGACATGCAATTCAGACTTGTTGACTTTCAAGGCGAGCCTGTAGAACTGAAGGCACCAGTGCGAATGACTGTTGAAGTTGACTTTTTAGAAAATATTAAATTGCAAACAGCTTACAAGGAACTCAGAGCTAAAAATATAAAGTATGAATGTTATGTATTAGGTCATGAACTTTGGTTGTTGCTGTTTGATGAAACAAATGAGTTAGTTATGCCAGTCAAGAACAGAAAAAGGCGTCAAAGGCGCCGAGCGCAAAGCGCTATATTGTGTTAGTGAAAACTGCACCAAGTCAATAAGATTAGGTTTGCATTATGAAGATGAGTTCGATACTGTTGAAGAAGTTTTGGACAGATATTTACAAATTGCTAACTTGAATTTTTTTTGACTGACGGCGCAAAGCGCCAAGATGGGCTCAAAGAGCCCTCTGACTGCTTTAATTTACTAAAACATATTTCAAGCAAAGCTTATAGTAAGTAGATAGTTTTGTATACTCGTTCGAATATTTATACTTAAACTCAACTCCTGTAGTTCCTGGTGTTTCAATGATGCGGATGTTACCTATTTTCATGAATAGTGGAGTTTGACCACAGCATTCGATTTCAGGGTCGAGATAGTCAATGACACATTGTTTCCCTGTTATTCGTGAGATAACATTTTCAAGGTCCTCCTTTGTTAGAATTATTTGGTTCTTGCTTATAAGATTTGTCAAAAGCTTCTTATCGTCTTTGAGTAAAATTGTTGGTATAACTGAAGAAGGTAATGGTCTACGTTATCTGAAGGATTTGTTTGAACATTTGTGTAAGGGTTGTCGTTGGCTTCTCTTGAAAGAATTTGGTCCAGTGGTGGATACTCTAACTTAACATCTGATGTAGCGTTAGCGTTTGAAAGCTGAGTTTAAATTCACGGCGCCATGCGCCAAGATGGGCTCTTTTGAGCCCTCCCGACTTAAGTTCTGGTTCTTTTTCTTTCAAACACTCTGAACTATAGTTCTTTATGACAATATTGTTGTCGTTCGTGAGTCAACATTTGATGTTGGTTCAATTGGAACATTAACAGCACCAGCTAAGATGGATTTGCTTCTCATTTCATATAGAATTAAAAAACCTTTTATATGTATGAAATGAACAATATACTCGACAAGGTTTGAATGTAAAGCTAACGAATGAAAATATTGTTGAATTCACTGAGACAGGAGCTGTGTATAAGATGTAGAACTACTGAACAAAAGAGCAAAGGGAAGAAGCAGGAATATGAACAAAGGGTGGAAGCCTATAAAAATTTATGTCAATGATGGCTCAGGAGGTTCAAACATAAAGTATGCAGAAAGTTATAGAGTTTATGCTCTCAAAGGTGAAAAGCCTTCATTTAAGAACAGCTATTCTAACGCATATCCTCAAAAGTTAACGGATGGGGAAGTGGATGATATGAATGACAGCAAAAATATTAACAGAAATGGCGACAGAGATGCATGGAATTTGTTTACCATCAGTCAATTGAAGGTTAAACTTTAAAACAATGTGGTTCGTTCCCATGGAATATTTTTGACTTTAATGGTATTAGTCATGATATGAATCTCAAGGTATGAACGAGGAGAGATGAGAGACTTATATGCTTCCCAAATTTCTTCAAAAGGTAATGTTATACCTGACTGTTTCCAAATGAGTTCAATATCATAACGTGAGAAACCTTGAAAGATAACGAAGTCAGTTATGAGACGTTTTTATGTTTAAAGCAAGGAAACGCCATGTTTGCATAAGTATTGCTACAGTTTAAATGGTAATGTTGACTTTAGTTATGATGTTAGCTAATGGTGAGTCAGGCTTTGACACTAAACCTTTACCAGCGAAGTCGTCACAAACGAGCAGAGTGTTTGAAGGATATTTTTTGAAGGGGTATTTTGAAAGTTTTGATAGAATGTAGTTTGTAAGTCGTTTCATATCGTATACTCCTGAGTATTGACGTAAGTGGTGTTTGTCAATAATTCTTTCCATCTCTTCTGAAGTCTTTTGCATTCCTGACTGTATGAACTCTACAATAGCATAATATTTCCTCTTACGTCGAATGTAACGTTGAAGAAATTCAATGAGTTCACTGTCTGGAACTTTAACGACAGAGGCTTGAACTTTTGACATAAATGTTTTCGCTGTTGAATCCATAGAGTCTGAAGTTGCTGATATAATGATTTGGTCATAGTAAGAGTCGTTTCCTAAACGCTCTGTTATGAGTATATGACGAATGAGGTTGAATGTCTTACCTGAACCATCTTTCCACAATTAGAAATACACACCATTTGAACAGAACTCATAGTCCTTACTGAAAGGAAGAATGAGAGAACTGTTGAGCTTTTCACTGCTTTCATTCATGTCTTCATCTACGTCATGTATTAAAATGCTTCATTTTCTTCATTAAAAATGCAAGTCAGAAATATTCAGAACATAGCACCGAGTCTAACTGACAAGAGTATAAAGATATACTATGAACACGTTATGATGAAACCTACCAAAATTCAAGAAAGTCAGTATACTTATGAATATCCAAGACACTGGGTAGAGTATGTAGGAGGTGAGAAAGCTATTGAAATAAGACAAGTTAGAAGTATTCCAGCAGGAAGAACAATATTATTGAAGAACTTTAATGTTTTGAGGTATAATGATGAAACAAAGAAGCAAGATAGTTTTCCTGTTGCTGTGTATGTGAACCTAGACACAGGAGATGACATGAAAGTTTTTAACACAAAGCTTCAAACGGTAGTGAGAGAACAACTGACTGCGGAAGGACATCCATTACCTTCAGAAGTTACCATAGTATATAATTTTGAAACAAATGCAATAGATTTTAAAGTCGTCTCTGCAAAGAAGTCAGGTTTTACATTTAATGAAGCAGATGTATATTCGAATGAAAACTTCAAAGCTATTGCATGGTTAGATAATGA